AGTTAAATTCTTAGGCTCAGAGACCCTCAATATTGCACACGAGTAACACATACTGAATCTGCTGGTATGAGTGTGGATGCTTCTGTGCCACATGACCAGTGTGGCTGTGGTTACAGAGGATTCTCAGGCAAAAACAATTAAAGGTGTCTGTGAAGAAAGCTGCCAGTTTGAGAGCGCGACTGGGATGTTACCTGGTTTGTGTGTTCCTGTGTGTGTAACTGTAAGTGACTAAAAGTGAACAAAGTGTCGGCAGTAAAAAAAGAGTGTAGAGTAGTTCATGTTTCTGGTGTGGAAATGTTCTCATCGGCTGGAGTTAAAAAGCAGAGTGGCTTTGGGGACAAAGGTGGCGCTCCTCCTCTCAGTCCTGCAGCAAATGCAGCAGAGGCGCCGCCCAGAGGGGAGCCATGGAAATGCAGGGTGAACAATGTGAGAGGGGTCACCACCATCTCTTTGGTTTTGCTCACGTTCAGGTCAAGTTTGGAGCTGTCACATGACTCTACAAACTCCTGCAGAGCGGCCGTGGTGCTGTGAGGGCCTGACAGCAGTGACAGGAGAACTGTGTCGTCAGAGTATTTCACCAGGTGACAGCTGGGCTTTTAACATGGCTTCTGCTTAGAGTGAGTCTGCACAGTAACCCGTGGTATGATGTCATCAGTGTATTTACTGATTATTCTGTGCAATCATTCACACTATTGTTGGCAACAGCTTGAAAAAACTTACCACTCAGCAGTGCGGAAGCAGTGACGCAAGACGATGGCGGTCCAGCATTGAACCAGGCACATGATTGGGTGCTCACGCCTCAGCTTCTGCTTATAAGCTGGTAGCAGGACGACCAAGGAGAGATCTGATTTGCTGAAGGCTGGTTGGGGGCAGGCACATGTGAACGAGGTACTTTTGTCCTCACAGGAACACCAGCCAAGCCAGGAACTGAGGAATTCAGCCATTTCTCCGTATAGTATCCTGATGGAAAGTCATCCTGGTCAGCAGTTCATCCAGCTTGTTTTCCAAAGTTAGGACGTTAGCTAGAAGAATGGTGGGAAGTGGGGAATGGTGCTGTCTGTTCATCAGCTGGACCATGACCCCGGCTCCTTTCCACCGGCGTAGTTCCTGCTCAAGGGCATTTGTGTGGTCGAAGGTGATCTGTGCCGTTTAAACAGCACGTTTCCAACAGCTCATGCTGCACAAAGTGCTTTACACACTAAAATGCAACCAAAATAAGTAAAATGCACAACAATCATGCAATACAATTTAAAAGAGAGACAATAATACAATAAGAAAATAAAAAACAACAACGACTAATCTGTTAAAACAAAAAGTGTTCGGGTCAGTGTGTGCTAAGAGACGGTCCATAAAATGTGTCCAGTGTTTGTGCCGATTGAATATTTAGACACAGACTGTTGCAGAATCTGCAAGTGTTAAAAACACGAGGAAAACCTGAAATTGAGTATGATGGCGAGTGATGGCAGCCATCCTCATCGGCGCCATCTGGTAATCTAAAACACTGCATTAAAACTACTGCCATCTTTACACACGGCCCCCTGTTTTACTCCCTAATTATGCAAATGAACAGTTTTAAGAATAAAAATAAAATGTTTCATTTCTAAATGTGGAAACTGTCGTGATGCACAAACAAAATTTATGACGTTGTTGTTGTTTTTGTATGATAAAAAATGTATTATTTAAAAACACATGTTACATTTGTAGATTCTGTGCTAACGTTTAACATTTTTGTTACCATTTCAGTGTCTGAGACGAGGGCTGTTCTGCTGGGGAGCAGCTGGTCTGAGTGGGAAACTTCTTACTGGGAGAGACAAATTTAACAGTGGACGAAAAGTGGACTCATTCAAAGCAAAGAAACAGTTCTCATCAACACACCAGATCTGCTTCATTCCAGCATCTCTGAAGACAAACTAGGAGGACACGTGGAAACCTGTGTGAGACTCTGATACTGGCTCTCATGTGTTCCTGTCATACAGCCTGAGGACTTGACACAGCAACACAAACTGAGGCTCTGTGAAATTCTGAACATCTTCAGTGATTATTCTTTTGACCATTCACTGGTCCTGACATCAACACCCAGAGCTGATGTAGAGACCTTTACAGGTCTGGATCAGATTTCAGTCTCAGAGACAGAAATTCCTTCAAGTCCAGGAGTTGCAGACAAAAATGGATCTAAGTGTAGAGCGTAGTGATGGGAGGCATGTGACCTGTCATCCAGAGCTGGAGCTCCTGTTAACTTTGTGCTCGATGGTTAAGTTTACAAGAATATTCAAATTGGTTGCAAGTTTTTTTATTTTAATACATTCGCAGGAATTTCAAGCAGTTTTTCACGTTGTCATTATGGATCATTGTGTGTTGGATTTTGAGTAGAAAAATTATTTTAATAAATTGTAGAATAAAGCTGTAACATGACAAAATGTGGAAGAAGTGCTGTTCAAACGTTCAGCTCTGTAGTTAGTAAATAATATGTTTCATTTGGAAATCGAGTCAGTGCCAATAACTACACCTTCACTGTGACACCCATGTTTCTCACTGAAATACACAGCACACACAGAGCTGTTACATAAAAGACACTGTCCAACACCAGCTTCATCTCTTTTCTGAACAAAAGTCAGGATTTTGTCTTTTTGAATTAATGGAACTAAAACAACATTTCACCATTTTCTGTACACAGTTATAATTTACTGAAAAACCTGTCAAATAACAATCAAACCTCTTCTCTTGTTTGCACGGTGCAGTACACATGTTCTCATCACTGGATGAAACACTGCATCTATTCATGGATTATTGTGCTGCTGTCGTTGCTTTGATTTTTATGTAACACTGATGCAAAGACCACAGGAAACAAAAACACGTGAAGTATAAAACATGCAGGTGTATTTGCATAAAAAGGAAACAAGTGTGTATTTAGGAGGTGAAGAAACAAAATCAAAAGGTGACGAGTCAGCTTGGATGCAGGTGCATCGTCATGAAGGCGACCGACCCACTGAATGTGAGCCTTTAACTGTCCGATGTTACGTCTGTGCTTCAGCGGTGAGACGTCATCACTTTGTGATTCTCTTTCTAATTTTAGACAAACGTCCTGACATCAGCGCACTCGTCTGTGGCCTTTTTAATTTCTCCCATCTATGAGATCAGCTTGCAGGAAACAAACACTGAAACAATAAAGCTGCCGTCGTTCAACAAAGTTTAAAACACTTTCCTGAAGCACAAAGTGCAGGAAATCCTAAATGTCACCCTGTGAGGACACGGGGGCACGGGAGGTGAAGACGTCCTTCCTCTTCTGAGGCTAAAGCAGCTCAGCATCAGACGCTCTGCAGTACACCATGATACAGATTCCTAATCCTGTTCCCATGTCAGCTGGTCGTAATATTGACCTTATTTTGAAATGTTCATGTTGATTTGTGTAAATTACTCAGACGAGGCTTAAAGCAATAAACTCAAACGACCACTCAGTGATTAAGTAAATAAATGATATTTTATTGAAAGACTTTAACAGTTTGTAGAGTTTCATGACCAGAGAGATGCAGTGGAAATTCCTGTCTGACACTTTGCAACAGCTCAAACTGGACTCAAATTGCTAAGTGTGTTTGAAATGTGGTTGAAGTGAAACGTTTACTGTAACACTTAAACCTGATCCGTCGTGTTCACAGCATCGTCAGGCGTGTCCACGCGAGACAAACCAGACGCACGTGTAGCTGGGACAGTGGAAGTACGGCGACTCCTGCAAGGGCGGAGGGGGAGGAGCATGGAAGCATTTTAGAAGCACTTGCGGTGAACAATGGCGGGGCCGGACTCATCGTACTCCTGCTTGCTGATCCACATCTGCTGGAAAGTCGAGAGCGAGGCCAGGATGGAGCCACCGATCCAGACGGAGTACTTCCTCTCGGGGGGAGCGATAATCTGGAGACGAGAACAGATTAGACACGAGGCAGGTGAGTACCTGTAGGCCAGTCTAGAGATGCGCAGCAGCAGGTAGTTAAGTTTGAGAAAGTGTACACTAGAGGGCAGCAAAACGAGCATCACATAGATTTATATAGTGGTGCCAAATGCCAGAGGAGGAGGGTGTAAACGGCACCGTTAAAGTGCAACACTGCACAAGTTTACAGTTCAAGAGATCCAACGAACAAACCTTAATTTTCATGGTGGGCGGGGCCAGGGCAGTGATCTCTTTCTGCATGCGGTCGGCGATGCCGGGGTACATGGTGGTGCCACCGGACAGCACGGTGTTGGCGTACAGGTCCTTACGGATGTCCACGTCGCACTTCATGATGCTGTTGTAGGTCGTCTCGTGGATACCAGCCGACTCCATACCTGAAGGAAGTTGTAGTGCAGAAGTGAGACTCGATGCACCAAGGCTTCAGCCCCTTTCAGGAAAATTCACCAACAGGCGTCTGTGGAGGGTAACTGATGATTTACAAACCAATGAACGAAGGCTGGAAGAGCGCCTCGGGACAGCGGAACCGCTCATTGCCGATGGTGATGACTTGTCCATCAGGAAGCTCGTAGCTCTTTTCCAGGGAGGAAGAGGAAGCTGCTGTCTGCATCTCCTGCTCAAAGTCCAGAGCCGTGTAACAGAGCTTCTCCTTGATGTCACGCACGATCTCACGCTCGGCTGGAGGTCAGAGTTCAGTTAAATGGACACATCATGGTCTGTAAATGCAGTAGCTGCAGATTATGGCATTACGTCAGCATGCTTGAAGGTAAAACTGCACACATACCAGTGGTGGTGAAGCTGTAGCCTCGCTCTGTCAGGATCTTCATCAGGTAGTCTGTCAGATCTCTGCCGGCCAGATCCAGACGGAGGATGGCGTGAGGCAGAGCGTAGCCCTCGTAGATGGGCACAGTGTGGCTGACACCGTCACCCGAGTCCATCACAATACCTGCAGGACAAAACTCAGGTCACTCGGGAACCACTGAGCTTTGTGCTTCCTCTAACGGTCACAGCCTGCTGCTCTAACCCCAACTGAAGAAACGAGCCCCGAGCTAGACAAGGAAGTTCATCTGAAGCAGAACTCTGCACAGCAAGAAATGCTGGAAACCCACCTGTGGTACGACCAGAAGCATACAGCGACAGCACGGCCTGGATGGCCACGTACATGGCAGGAGTGTTGAAGGTCTCAAACATGATCTGCACCAGAGAAAGACTGTTTAAAGTACAAGTGCTATAATTACACCATTAGCCTGGAAATTTACTTTTTTTCTACAAGTACAAAAAGCATCTGGGCTAGAAAACCTTCACAGGTACAGGATCAACTTTAATCAGAGTCCTTCACACACCTGTGTCATCTTCTCCCTGTTGGCTTTGGGGTTGAGAG